AAGGTGCTTTAAGATGATTCAAATATAAAATAATCTAATATGGGGATTCAATTTAGAATTTTGAACTTTAGGAAGACTTCAAAGATTCCAGATGGGCCCATTTTTGAATTAACAACCTATGCACCTTCAAATATTTACCTTTTAAATCTCTTTATCTGCAGACTGAGAGTGTTTGCATGACTGAATTAGTCTTCATAAAACAGCTGCACCTCTCCGTAGAAATGTATCCCTGTGTTGTTGTACTCGGTTAAGCATTCTGAAGTGTGTTATTTTAGAGATCTTTCACCTAAAAACATTTGGGGCAGATGTTCGACAGTTGTTTGCACATCAGAAGTCACGATGACTGAGAGTGTTTGCATGTCCGTGTGTGTGTTTGCAGGCTTTATAATGAGTCATGTGAGGAGCAGCTTCCACTACAGAGGGGTCCGGTTCTGTGCTGCACCCTGGACAACATACCGCTCATCAGGTCAGTGACCAAACCTCCGCAGGTCCTGCAGGACTCGTTCACTCATTCTGCTGGGAAACTCCTCTTATTGTGAAACTCCTCTTATGTAACACTCAGTTGTCTACTTCCTGCATGTGATCTTCAAAGAGCCAAAACAATGGCGCATTGTTGACATCGAGTCGTGTGATTTACGAGAAGCCGCAGTAATAAAGCAAAGATGAAACTTTCCCCTCTCACACTAATAACAATATCAGCACACACACACACACACACACACACACACACTGTACACATGATGTGAGCGCCGGTATCGAATGAAGGGAAATTAGCTCTTTTATTAAAGTTCCGTTGGAACACTGAACCCAAACAGAAGAACAAGAACATGCCAGTACACCTTGTGTTTTACTTGGCATGCAGTAAAGTTAAAAAAGCACCTTTAACTGCGTGTGATTCATGGACAGAATGAGAAATATCAGACATTCAAGTGGCTGCAACAGAACATTTCTGAGTCTAGAACTGTTGATGTGCACTAATCTAAAAGACTGTATGCATGTAGTGAGCAGACATGTACAAGTGATGTACGAACCCTGATGGAAACTTAATGTCTGCAGTCATTTCTCAATTGGATGCCGTCAGATTAACATTAAAGGAGAGAGGGGCAGAGAACATCTTCTTCCTCACTGTTACAACATTTTTGTCAGATATCCCGCCGGCATTGTGGCTCTTCCCGTAAATGTGCTGTCATGTCTGCATGAAGACATTCATGTAAAAAATCACCTCCGTCCGAGGGACCAAATAAATTTCCCTTTCACGGTAGGAGCCAGCTGTAGGAGCCAGTATTCAAATCCTTTACTTAAAGGAGCCGTGTGGAGGAGTTAGTGGCCTTCAGGCGCCACCAAACTCAAGCTAACACTTTAGATCTGTAGATGAAGATCTCGGGGTCATTCTTTCTCTCAACCTCCCAGCAGGACTGTCGGTTTTTATTTCCATTTATAGACGTATTTCTTCCTGTGAAACCGCTTTCCAAGAACACATGTTGGTATGTCTTTGATTCCACAGAGTGAGTAAGAACACACAGAAGGCCACGCTGCTTTTTCATGACTATTTCTGCTTTCTTTCTTCACTGCAGTAAATGTGGAACCCTGCCACCTGAAAGCTGCTTTTTCAGCCTCATCTGCAGCACTGGGTCCTTTATGGGTAAGTGTCAACCCGAGTCTGTGTGTGTGTGTGTGTGTGTGTGTGTGTGTGTGTGTGTGTGTGTGTGTGTGTGTGTGTGTGTGTGTGTGTGTGCGCAGTGAACGCAGCTCAAGTATGCAACACAGTTACCCAACATGCTGCTCTTGGTTGAACGGGTCTCTGTGCACTCAGAACTTCAGGTTTGTTTTCTCAGCTGTGACGCTTCAAGCCAAGTTCTCTGTTCCACACACACACACACACACACACACACCTCCTCCTCCTCCTCTATGAAGGGAAAATTCCCTCTATGCCATGAATGGTGCATTTATATGACCCAGGAGGGCAACTTCTCTGCTCTGTGCCAAAAACACTTTCAAGCATTGACTCAGTGGGGTTTACTCCGAGGGTGCAGGGTGTCGCATTAAGATGTTTTTTCCGTTCGCTTTATAAAACTCTCTGAGAATTCACACTCCAGGAGTTCACCACAGTGAACTTTGCTCTACTGAGGTTCTTTAATTGGAGGCTGACAACGTGGAGGTTTGACATTGCAGAGAGCAAGACTTTTATTTCCAATGGAGAGCAGAGCGGCTTCTCTCGGGCACCGCCACTGACTTCCTGTCTTGGTCTTGCAGCCAATGAACGGAACTAGTTCGTAAGACGTGTTTTCTGACGGTGTCGGAAATTAAATGGTTGTTTACTGTTTTATCATGGTCAATGTATTAAGTGTTGTATTTTATTTAATTACTTTTCTTAACTTAATTTAGTTTGCATTAGTCTCTTCATCTTTTCTCCATTTTCATCTTGTTTTGGTCTTGTCAATCATTTGTAAAGCACTTTGAATTGCATTTGATTTGTTTAAAAGGTGCTTAATGAATAGAACTTGATTGATTGTTTGATTGCATGTTTGGCGGTGACACGCTGTGTAGGAGCCTTTACTCTGAGGTTTTGCACTCATACACAGTTCAGTTTGTCTCGACTCAGATTTTGCAAAGGCTGACGATGGTGTATTTATTACATAATCCAGTTGTTTTCACACAGATGTGTTTGTTTGAACAGCACAGTCTTCACTTTGATGTAGTTTTTCCAAGGAACTGGGTTTGGTGGGTGATCACGTAGGCTTGTCTCAGCACGACACACCGCTGTCTGTAAACTTCCATCACTACAAACACAAAGGGAGCTAAGACAGGAAGCTGAGGAGAAAAATTACAAATAAGAGACGTTCTCTGTGGCCAACGTTTTATATTCCAGAAGAGACGGAGATTATATTTCTAAGATTTATGAATTCTCTTGGTAGTTTTATGGTCACATCTGTAATCTGTAACAACTCTGTTATAAAAAGACTCTTCCTCGTGCGTGTTAATATTGGATGTTATCTCAATCTTCCTGGTTTTTCTAAGAAAATGCTGGAATTTACAGACGCTTAAAAAGCCCATGAACCTGTCTCAGCCCAGGTTATTTAGATTGCTAACTTAGTTAGAGAGGAATGTTACTTTATCTCATGTTTGTTTAAAAGCATTTTACGTTTTTTCCAGTTTGTGCAGTTTTCACCTCATTACTCACGTTTGGAGGGTTATTTGGCTGCATTTTGCAGAATTCTGTCAAAATGTTCACATTTGTTTTAACGCCACGTAAACGAGAGCTGTGTGGTGCCGTTAACTCCTGTGAGACCTGCTGGGAACCCACAAAGGTCGGGTCAGACAGTAAAGACTCACATTTGGGCTGCAGGGTCACGATTATGTTCATTTAACAGGACAAAACCAAAATATATTCAGTTTGGAATTTTCTGTTTCTTTCTATTTAGTTAATTTTTTATAAATGTATTTTTATTTTATTTTTGTGAGAGACGGGTATGATGTCTCAATAAGATTTAGTACACGCATTCATGATCCCCTCGGGATGGTTTTTGGTGATCCTCTGACTTTTCCTTTCGCGTCATCATCGGGTCAAACGTGTGATTTAATGTCCAAATACTTGCAGAACTAAAGGCGTTAGCATTAGCCTCACCTGTACTTTCTAAATAGCGCCAATTAGAAAATGTTAGCATGCTAACACGCTAAGCTAAGTTGGGGAACATGGTAAACATCAGCATGTTAGCGTTGTGAGCATGCTGCCATGCTAGCATTCGCATTTAGCTCAAAACACAGCTGCACTGAAGTTGAAAAAAAGTTGGTGATTAATTTTCCTGTGTGTCTATTAATCGACAAATGGTGTCAGCTCTCAGTGAACGCTAGCGTGTACATTTCCCCGACATCAAAAGCTGTTTTCACTCTGCTCTCATAAAGACTTTATGTTTGTGAGGCGTCCTGTTTAACTTGTCGCTGCTGGTTCACTGCCGGACTAACAACATGAACATCACAACTGTACTTATCGGCGTGACGAGCACCAGATGTGAGCTGCTGCGAAGCTTTGATGGAGCGGTTCAATAAACAGACATCAGGAATCTGCTCACACTGAGATCTGCAGCGTCGTCGTTTTTTAACGTTTCGGATGAAGCTCCGTGAGCTCGCTGTTCCTTTCATGCTGCATCCTGGTTTTAAAATGGCGGTCGAGCTCTCTCATTGGCTCTTACGTTGTTTATTTTCTGTGGTACGTTTGCTCAAAAGATTTGTGCTTTGTCTCGTAGCTGCGCTTCACATTACCGCTTTTAATAATCACCAGAGTCTCTGAATATATGAGACATACTGGTTATGATCTGCCCAGAGAAGAATTAACATTTAAGAGTCATGTGAAATAACTTCTCTGACTACTCGGTCTCTGGTCCTTCGTCTCCGAGTGAAAGTGTGAAAGTGTGAAGGTACAACAGGAGAATTTGAAAAGTAAAGTAAATAAGAAGAGTACCATCAACTGTGTAATAATCAATGCTTGTTAAAGATGGTGGACGGTGTTTTAAAGTAACTCCTGAATCTACATGTGTGTGTTTTTGGATGCAGAAAGTTTTTCTTTCTTTTTTTTAACAAGAGCAGAAAAGAATGAATCTGAAACCCTTTGTTCTGTAGTTTGGGCTCATTTCCTGGAGGATTGGTGTGATTACCAAACTGAATGATGAAATGTGTCGTCCTTATTTCCGTCTCTCTCTCCATCTGTAGTGATGCTGATCGGTCTGCTGCGTTACGCTCATGTCATAGAGAAACACCAGAACTGTGTCCTCAACACCGCCGGCCTCTCCGCGGCTTGGATCTGTGCCGCCGGCCTCATCATGGTGGGAAACTTCCAGGTAATCACGATCTGACCGACGTCTTTGAAAAAGCTGCAGGACCGAGTGAGTCGAAGTACCGCGAGTGGCCACTGGGGCAGATTGTCAGCGGAGTGGCGGTGCTTATCGGATTTCTTTAATGTTAGCATGCTGATGTTAGCATTTACTCACAGAGCTGCTAGTATGTCTGTAATATTTAATCCAGTGGTCATCGCTTTTATTATTTCAGTGTATGTTGGGCTCATGTGACGCACATTTCTTATTATGTTTTATCAAATTTCCACAAACTGGGATCAAGTAGTGCCAAACAGATGAAAACAGCATCTCTGCATCTCATGCATGTGGTGCTTCTGCTGGACTTCAGACGCCCCGCTGAGCCTCTCTGATGTGCGACTCTCCCGCTCTTTTGTAGAGCTTCCAAGCAAATCTCTTTTTGATGTTGGGTTCGTCCTGTCTGTAGATCGTCTGGCGGGCCTCTCTGCGGTAGTGTGACCTTAATAAATACAAGACCGTGTGCGTGTTCCTGGTGTTCCTGTCCTCGCTGAACTCCAGAGAGAAGCCCGGTTCAAGGAGGACGCCCTCGCGTTGCTCAGTGTGGCGGTCGCCTTTTTGTGCTGACCTGTAACTGCTGGTTTTGAATTAGCTGCTGAGATAAAGACACAGATTTAATGTAGAGAAGAAGAGCTGCAGAACATGTGCGTACATGTTTGGGACACGCTGCACGTACAGGAGTTATCATCGCCTCAGGTGATCGCGTTAAAGCTGCTGCTGAGCATATGATAACTGTGAGTTACTGCAGGTAGTTCATCAGAGATGTGTGTGTGCATGTTCACACCACTGCATGTAGTTGCTTGCTATACTGCTATGAGATCACCAAACTTAATGAACAAACATCTCTACATATGTCCAATTCAGGCAATCCGCCATGTTTCTACAGTAGCCCAGAGCGGACAAACCAAAGACTGACATTTGTGTTTTCAGGTTTTTGCGTCGGCTACGTGTTTCTCTGTGTGTGCGGAGCTGTTTTTGAGATATCGGTGGTGACACTCTTGTCAAAGGTCAGTAGTTGGAGTAGTTGGAGGCCCTCTCCAGGCTCAGATTCCTGCCGATCTGTCTGCACACGTCTGGGCCCCTCTGATTACATTTGGGGCCACGATCTGCACATTTCATCCTCCGGGTCTGTCATCCAATTCACCCTCTCAACGTTGATTGGCTGCAGGAGGCCACTCCTCCCCATTCGGAGTAAACATTGATGTGCTGTATATTGAAACACTCTTTTTGAAGAACTTCAGACTTTTCTGAAACTAATGTTATGCCTACTGGCAAAACAATATGACTTTAATGCTACTTAAAGTGTTCAGTAGAGAGACATCTTCAGATTTTCCTCATATTCTTCTTCCCTGTAGACGTGAACGGAGAACTCGTGGGTGGTTTGTGTGGAACCAGCACACACAGTTAAAGCAGAATGTACGTTTGCTTGCTCTTTTGTGTCTCTTCCCTGTAATTACACGACTTTAACAGCTGTGATGCTTCCCCACAATGCACCTCTGTCACTCGCTCAACCCCAATGTTCAGCATGCGTCATCGTCGTACCAGCTGCTGCGTTTGAAGTATTTAAAAAAAGGATAAATGCAGTAAAGATGAACTTCCTCTGTGTGTGAGGCTGAAAGTGTCTGAGTACATTAAAGTATCAGGTTCTTATCAGCTCGTTAGTTCAAACTGAGACGTTGTCTTCTTCCTCTCAGTGATGGGTGATAAAGGAGATGATGTCGTTGCTTTTGTAAATTGGTATCAGTTCAGTATGTTGCTGGTGCAGATTGTTCTGTCCCGGGACGTTGTTTGACGGATGATATTGTGACAGTGATTACTATTATTAGTGCCGGTGTTGGGTCACGATGAGCCTTTGTGTTTGGGTGTCATTTGTTTGTTGTTTTTTTATCAGCTTTATTGTTTCCAGATGAAAACCACAATAGATGATTCATCCTCTGGGGAACACGATTGTCTGAACAGAATTCATGGGTATTCAGCCACAAACGAGAACCTCATGGTGGCACTTGAGGAAAAGTTGGGAAATAAATATGCAGCAGGATTTATCCTCTGGGGAACATGAATGTCTGCACACAATGTAACAGAAATCTATCAAATGGTTGTTGAGAGATCTCACAAAATAACCCACAAATGTGACCCTCGTGGTGGCGCTAGAGAGATATAAAGGGGATCGCTAGAATCTGTATAATTCATCCTCTGGGGACCATGAATGGATATGCATCCAACAGTCACATAATCATATTTTGGTCTTGACCAACAGGCTGAGGCTAAAAAAAGAAGAAAGTTAGTAAAACAAGGCAAGAAGTGAGACTAGTCTAGTGAGACCTGAATGACGATCCACGATGTCGCTGCTGCTCCCTGAGGTGAAATAGAACCTGCGCATGATTCTAAAGGGTTTTTGTTTATTTCTCAGGTGGATTTCGCCAAAGTCCTCCACTATGTCGGAGCCGGCGTGGCCTTCCCCTCCAGCATGCTGTTTGTGTGTCTTCAGTCGGCTCTGACCTACAGGCTGGCCAAGACCCAAGAGGAGTACCGAGTGGGTCACCTCCGTGTGGGGATGGCCCTGCTGGCTCTGGTCGCCCTGGTGCTCAGTATCCTGACAGCATGAAGCCAATTCTGTGTTTATCTGACTAGCAAAAGTTGAAAACGTTGAAGATATTTTTGTTTCATGATTCGTGAGCTCACTTCAAATCACATTCATGAGACAATTTACTTCAGTACAGTACTTGAGTAGATGTACTTTGTTAATTGTGTTACGTGGCCCCCTGCTGGAGTAAAACATGCTTACATCCATTTCCTGAATCCAAATGTCCTTCCTCTGGACCTCTTTAGTGTGTAAAGTCTCACTGCATGAATAAACTTACACATCAGAAATAAGAAAACAGATGTTCTCGATAACACCCATAAAGACAACAAAGTGTGTGTGTTTGGATTCGGGAGCCCCCTGCTGTGCAGCCTCATTGTCCTCCTTAACCGTAAACTCACCAGGCGGAGTTTTCTTTTGCCAGGAGAGCTTCGCCCTGCAGCACGCCTCCGCCATCTTCGAATGGATCTACTGCATGCTCATCATGCTCTTCTACGGGACGTTTGCCTTCGAGTTTGGGGGCATGTCGGGCGACACGCTGATGGTTCTGTCCAGAGGAGGACGAGGAGGACGAGGAGGACAAGGAGGAGAAGTGCTGCAGAGCTTCTCCACCTCCGGACGCAAGATGGAGGTGGGCGGCGGCTCCAACCACCACCAGCCGGACAACTTATCGATGCTGTAATCAAGCTGCAGACGTCCATGGAGGTCAATGGGCGACGCCAGTGGAGTGGAGAGCCTGGACGCTGCATCCTGCGTCTCCTCTCGCTCACTGCTGCACACGGACACGGTGCCAAAGCTGCTCTGCTCAGCAGTGACCAAAGACTAAAGGACCTTCATCCTGCTGTGCTGAAGTGCAGTGCACAATATTGCAAGTGCCTTTCTGAACACTGAAAGAGATGCACGCACATGCACGCGCACACACACACACACACACACACACACACACACACACACACACACACACACACACACACACACTTCGCTGTTTGTTTGAATCCTCTCAGTGTAACGATCACTCTTGCATTCCTGGCCTTTGATCAGACTGAGCGTCCTGAAGGGGCCTCAGATGCAGCGGCGTCCGTTAGTTTGAATGTTCAGACGTTCAGACATCGAGCGCTGTTGGTTTTTTTCACTCAGGAAATTTTGTTACATAACCAGCTGTTTGCTCTTTACATCACTAAAGTAAGGTGAAGATTTACAAATATGTCCTTATGTTGAACAGTTGTTATGAAACAGAAACAGTTTGTGCAACTCTTAATGGCAACATTGCCATAAATGCCCCCCCCCCCCCCCAAAGAATCTAAAAATAACACAAAGAATCTCAAAATAACCACAAAGAAACTCACTATGACTATTAAGAGACACAAAACGACCACAAAGATAAATAAAATGACTACAAAAAGGGCAAAACAACTACAAAGTGACACAAAACCACAGAGAGACGTTACGATGACAAATAATCACAAGACTACAAGCTGTCTCACATCTTCTCATGTTGCCTGAAATAAGCTCTGTTGTATATTTTGCTGTATCAGCTCTTTGCCAAAAAAGCCGTTGCGCTCGGTGACGATTATCTTCACAGTTTGAACGGGACCAAACTATTCGTATTGTCTGTATTTGATCATATGCAGAAACACATAAACAAGAAGATAAAGTTCCGTGATGTGCGTGGAGAACAAACAAATAAAAGCAAATAGGAGAAAAATAAATGAGTTTCTTATTTTCATTCATGTATTCAGCCTGGAAGAAAAATCAAATGTTTTATTGTTCAAAAATCATATTTACATTATTTATGAAACGGTATATGCAAAGTTTTTCTTCTGCTTCTGTGACTTTTAAACATTCTGAGATCACATCTTTGTTTAGCAGACGTCCAGATGTTTTTATTGTCAAATAATATCAAACTGAAGAAACGGCTGTTTCATGTAACGACCGTAGAAGAAAGTATGATATTCAGAAAGCAGGTTTGTGCATTGATTTCATAATAAAGCTCTAAAAATAAGTAAGACATTCAGCCTGTATTGTAATCATTTAAGATCTTGAGATTAGACTCGAGGACCTGCAGCTGTCTGTCATGTGAAAACAAACGTCAGGAAGCATTCAGTGTTTCTCTTAATTCACATCTCTTATTTGCTTTGCATGTGTCTCTGCAGGTCTTGAATTTACGTTTTAAGCACCAAATAATACGAAACTCAAACAACCTACGAAGTTCATCTGATGATCAGAATGCAGGTTTGTGTATTGATTTTAAAAAGAAACTAAAAACTATTGACTTGCAGCTTATACCAAATATTAATAATAAAATATGTTTTAGATTAGACACTACAACCTGCAGGTATTTATTATACAAAAATAAATGTTAGGAAGCATTCAGGATTATTAATGTTATTAGTCGCTGACATTTGAAACTTCTTCGACAGTATTTTCAGATGCTCTCGTTCTCTCTCTCTCTCTCTCTCCTAACAGCCAGCTATCTACTAAATAGAAACACTGACCAACATAAACACACAGTATATACTGTACATTTGAGGAACCAAGTTTTTCTCTAATTCTCTCACTTGAAACTTCTTTGGGAGATCTGCTGTATACCTTCTGAGATCACATCTCATCTTTGTGTGGATCAAGTGTCTGCAGGTCGTTTGGTTTGGTACCAAATAATATGCAACTTAGACCTTAGAGCAGAACAGTGTTTCTAACTTTGTGCATTCAAACTATAAAGAACTGAAAGCTTTGGATTATCCAACTTCCACCTGCAGACTCTCTGCTATCTATCTCAGCTTTCTCTCATTCAAAAGTACTATCTATAGTTAGAATCTGTTATAAATATTAGGATGCATGCAGCAATGAACTTATGACTGAACTTTGGGAAATCTGCTGTATATCTTTTGTTGTTTTGTGGCGGTCAAGTCCCTGCAGGTCTTCATACCAAGACAGAAATACCAAAGAGCTCGCTCATATTTCAGGTTACTATTGAAGGGGTCCATCAATCCTTCGTCCAATCAGCAGAGACTATCTGCACCCACCCTGACCCATCCCTCCCAGCTGCCTTACCAGGTTACAGGAGCACGAGGTCAGCTATCTATACATCTCTCACACACACACACACACACACACACACACACACACACACACACACAGATACTCTAGAAGTTGAGGTTCTTCGGGACCTCCCAGGGGAAGTCCTTCCTCCCAAAGTGTCCGTAGCAGGCCGTCTTCTGGTAGATCGGTCTCTTCAGGTCCAGGTCTCTGCAGCACAATCGAGATGGACTCAGGTTAAACATATCCAGTGGTGGAAAGTAACAAACTCAAGTACTGAACTTAAGTACAACATAGAGGTACTTTACTTGAGTATTTCCATACTTCTGCTTCACTACATTTATTTGACAGCTTTAGGAGTTACTTAAGATTTCACGTTAAACCAGTAGTTCCAAACCGTTGTGGTTTTGGTACTTTTACTTAAAGGAGACATATCCTGCTCATTTTTTTGGGGTTTCTAGTAGAACAAGTTTCCATGCTCAAAAAACACCTTATTTTTCTTATACTGTCTGATGAGATATCAACTTAATAGTATTCTATCAGAGTACTTCTTCCACCACTGAGTAGAGTTACATTCCTCACGATCACGTTGCATGTATCAACAAAACAGATGCAGTGTGATCATTTCAGTGCCGACCTGACGATGACGCCGGGTCTGAGATCGAAGTTCTTGTTGACGACCTGCAGCAGCTCCTTCTCGCTCTGCTGAGAGGAGCCGTAGGTGAAGAGGGAGATGGAGAGCGGGTGGGCGACTCCGATGGCGTACGATACCTGAAAACACAGACGAGAGAAAACATGAAAACATCTCTGATGGCGTATCTTTTCCTAAACTTAACGAAGTGTTTCACGATCTTTTCCTAAACCTAACTCAGTATTTCACGATCTTTTCCTAAACTTAACGAAGTGTTTCACGATCTTTTCCTAAACTTAACGAAGTGTTTCACGATCTTTTCCTAAACCTAACTCAGTAGTTCACGATATTTTCCTAAACCTAACTCAGTAGTTCACGATCTTTTCCTAAACCTAACTCAGTAGTTCACCATCTGTTCCTAAACCTAACTCAGTATTCACGATCTTTTCCTAAACCTAACTAAGTATGTCACCATCTTTTCCTAAACCTAACTAAGTATGTCACCATCTTTTCCTAAACCTAACTCAGTATTTCACCATCTTTTCCTAAACCTAACTCAGTATTTCACGATCTTTTCCTAAACCTAAGTATTTCACGATCTTTTCCTAAACCTAACTCAGTAGTTCACGATCTTTTCCTAAACCTAACTAAGTATTTCACCATCTTTTCCTAAACCTAACTCAGTATTTCACGATCTTTTCCTAAACCTAACTCAGTATTTCACCATCTTTTCCTAAACCTAACTCAGTATTTCACGATCTTTTCCTAAACCTAACTCAGTAGTTCACGATATTTTCCTAAACCTAACTCAGTATTTCACGATCTTTTCCTAAACCTAACTAAGTATTTCACCATCTTTTCCTAAACCTAACTCAGTATTTCACCATCTTTTCCTAAACCTAACTCAGTAGTTCACGATCTTTTCCTAAACCTAACTCAGTAGTTCACGATCTTTTCCTAAACCTAAGTATTTCACGATCTTTTCCTAAACCTAACTCAGTAGTTCACGATCTTTTCCTAAACCTAACTCAGTAGTTCACGATCTTTTCCTAAACCTAAGTATTTCACGATCTTTTCCTAAACCTAACTCAGTAGTTCACCATCTTTTCCTAAACCTAACTAAGTATTTCACCATCTTTTCCTAAACCTAATTCAGTATTTCACGATCTTTTCCTAAACCTAAGTATTTCACGATCTTTTCCTAAACCTAACTCAGTATTTCACGATCTTTTCCTAAAGCTAACTCAGTAGTTCACGATCTTTTCCTAAACCTAACTCAGTATTTCACCATCTTTTTCTGTCCATTCTGAAGGATGCGTTGGTCTCACCTGCACCAGCACTCTCCTGCACAGCTTGGCCTTCACCAGAGACTTGGCCACCCAGCGTGCGGCGTAGGCAGCCGACCGGTCCACCTTGGTGTAGTCCTTCCCAGAGAAAGCCCCCCCACCGTGCGCCCCCCAGCCTCCGTATGTGTCCACGATGATCTTCCTGCCCGTCACTCCAGCGTCACCCTGAGAGTCACGCAAAGATTTATCTTTCCATCGCACACAAACAATTGTTCCCTATGTTTGGCATTTTGCTTTTCATAAAATGATTCAAACAATTAATCAATTATGAAAATTGGAGTTAAAACGAATCAGTTAATCCTCAACCTACCCCAAACCCTGCAATGCGTTGATTTATAGCATTAAATCATCCTGTTATGCAAAGTTCAAGAGTTTGCATCTTAACATCGTGTGCATTTAATGTAAAACCTTCAACCTGCTGTGTGTTTATGGCAAAGTTAGGTTTTCTGGCACAACTTCACCAACTTTCAACGTGCATGAGGAAGAAAAACGATCAGAACTTCAGCAGCATGTGCAGCACAAACAACAAACACACTGAAGAGACGTTTCAACAGCACGAGCCTGAGAGAAAAAAGACTCGTACCTGTGGACCGCCGATCACAAAGCGTCCGCTGGGCTGCAGGTGGTAGACGGTGTTGTCGTCCAGGTACCTCGCGGGGACCACGGCCTTGATGACATCCTCCATCAGGACCTTCTTCTGCTCCTCCAGACTCACGTCGTCGTCGTGCTGCGCCGAGATCACCACGGTGTGAACCCTCTTGGGGATCACGGCACCGTTCTCTTGGGTGTAGTGAACCGTCACCTGGACGGATGGGATTGGAGAGGTTTTAGTTTACTGTAGATATTACATCGTGTTGAGCTCAAACTGGGATGTAATTGGTAAGGCGTGTAGAGCAATATACATTCTCAACTGTGACCCATAAACGTGGGCGGGTAATGAGACAATGGTTGTTGTTTGGTGTCTCTTTGTGGTCATTTTGTGTCACTTGTTTTGGTCTTTTAGTAGTTATTTTTAGTCTGTGGTTGTTTTGCAATTTTTTTGTAGTTTTGCGCCTCTTTGTTTTAGTCTCTTTGTGGTCTTTTTGTGTCTCTCTGAAGGGGTTTCTGTGTTCATCTGTGGTCTGTTTGTGTCTCTTTGTGGTTGTTTTGCCCATTTTCATAGTTCTTTACCAGACTCTTTGTTGTCTTTTTGTGTCTTTTTGAAGGGACTTTGAGGTTTTTTAAAATTTTCACACTGAAGATGTTTTATTGTTCATTAAGTGACAATTTAAGGGCTGAACTTCTTGTAAAAATGTCCTTAATTTCTAATGAGTTCTTCTAGTTGGATGGAACTTTTATTGAGGCGGATTTTTATTAGTTATGAGTTACAGAAGACAACGAATTTAATAATTTAAGTCCATGTTTCCTGTGTCTCATGAGTCCTTTCTGTCTGCACACCTGAAACTTTATCAGCACATCGTTTTCTTAGTAGTGTATTTGGATCCTCACCTGCGTCTTGGAGTCGGGGCGGAGCCACGGGACCGCCCCGCTGCGTCTCAGCTCGGCCATCTTGGAGTTGAGTTTGTGTGCGAGGACGACGGTGAGGGGCATGCACTCCTCCGTCTCATCTGTGGCGTATCCGAACATCAGACCCTGTCCTCACAGGACGAAACCAGTAAGTTCTCATTTAAACTCTCTAAAAGGCTCAACGGTAATAAAACAGACTTGTTGTGTTGTGTTTTTCAAGAGGACCTGGTCTCCAGCTCCGATGTCGCTCTCCGGGCGGTCGATGTGAACTCCCTGTGCGATGTCCGGGGACTGCTGCTCGAGGGCCACCAGCAAGTTACAGGTCTTATAGTCGAAGCCTGGACAGACAGAGCCGGGGACGAGGAGAGGGGACACGTGGAATTAACTCGCACCATCAAACTATCTGTCGAAGGTCAGGCCAGACATTTGGTTTTACACTCACCTTTGTTTGAGTTGTCGTATCCGATGTCTCGGATGGTGTCTCTCACCACCTTCTGGTAGTCCACGTTGGCTCTGGACGTGATCTCACCACAAAGCAGCACCATGCCGGTCTTACACACCGTCTCTGTGTCAGACAGAGGACGTCAGACGTCATATTTGTCTCGATGAGATAGAGGTTTGATGTGAAATAATGAACGATTCCTTCTGACAACTTGAGAATTCTAACGATGTCAGACTGAAGTGATCAAAGGTTTGTCAAGAAACCCATTTTTATCTGTTTTTACAATTTCATGCATGAGAAGAATAATTGCTTTCACAGTGTTGTTGTTGTGCAACAAATGTTGTAAAATATAAACAAAATGTTCCTTTGTTTGTGCTCTACTTCCCTCTGCTGGTCAGAGACACATCGTTACTCGTCGTTACTCGTCGTTAGTCGTCGTTAGTCGTCGTTAGTCGTCGTTACTCGTCGTTACTCGTCGTTACTCGTCGTTACTCGTCGTTAGTCGTCGTTAGTCGTCGTTACTCGTCGTTACTCGTCGTTAGTCGTCGTTAGTCGTCGTTACTCGTCGTTAGTCATCGTTAGTCATCGTTACTCATTGTTAGTCATCGTTACTCATCGTTACTCATTGTTAGTCATCGTTAGTCATCGTTACTCATCGTTACTCACCACAAGCCACCTTGGCGTCGGGGTCCTGCCTCAGGTGAGCATCCAGCACAGCGTCACTGATCTGGTCGCATATCTTATCTGGAAACAAAAACAAGAGATTAAAATGCATCAATTTCTGCATCACTGTGTTGATCCCTCGCGTGACCTTCTGCTGCACATTCCTGATCTGGGCCGAGCGAAGAGATCACATGTCACGGCTCCATCGGAGGGCCACACATCCGACCTCGGAGGAGCAGCAGCTCTATGAATAGCCTGAGACACGGAGCGCTGTAACTCCATCAGATCCTCATCAACTGTCTGGAGACACATCCCACCTCAGCACATTCCACACAGGGATCTGTCTGTAAACCTATCTGTCTGTTCACCTGTCTGTCTGTAAACATAGCTTTTTGTTCACCTGTCTGTCTGTACACCTGTCTGTCTGTACACCTGTCTGTCTGAAGCTGCAGGAGGGAGGGCGGAGCTTCCTGACTGTCTGCAGTCAGCTGACTCTCTGCCTGTTTACCTTCACTAATGGCAGGTGGTGTGAGGGACGCCGTCGGTCACCCGGCCCGATAGGCACCGCCCGGCGGAGTGGAGCAAATCTAACGCACCTAAGACGATGTGTCAGCTACAGGTGAATGCTCGGTCTAGCTGCAATACAAAAATGCTAACATGCTAATATGCTAATATGCTTGAGCTGAATCAACTTCTACATGTGCTTCGAGACTCATTTCACCTCCAGTGAGACTGTCAGCTGTCTGTGAGGACGTCAAGGCGCGCAGAATGACGTCATACAGGTGAGTAAAACTCTACAGCTCTGTTTGTTTTTGCATTAATGTGTGTTTGTGGCTGCAGCGTCTGCTGTCTATTTGTGTTATTTGTCTATTTGTGTCATTTATGTGTAATTTGTCAGTTTTGTCTCTTTTCTGGGTGATGTTTGTGAGACTGCACTGAGGAAGCTGGTTGTATTTTGATATCAGTCGAGTGCACGGGCTGCAAATACCTGTCTGAAGGAATTTATTGTTGAATTTTAACGTTTGGACATTAGATGTGTGTTACGGTTGAGATGCTCTTTATTTTGTAGCCTAGGTTCCAGATTTTCTTTTTTAATTCAGTAATTAGAAGACATCACTTTAGGTTTTGGGGAGTTGTGATTGGAAATGTATCATTTCTTTGAAGTTTTATAGCCAAAATGATGGAATCAGCATTATTAATAGATTAAACTCACCATGCTACATATTAGGTTATAATGAGCTAAACTCTCAGAGATCAAAGAGTCTGTTGATTTCTCACTAACGTACTGAGTTAAATGTCAACTACATGAGAGTGAACCCGGAGTTATTATTCCAGTCAGTCAGGCGCCTGCAGGTCTGAGATCTTTAGGCTGGCTTCCTGTCTGTCGAAGAACTGATGTTAACATTCCACACTACTGAAGCCCTGAATGATTTAGGACCAAAATACATTTCTGATCTGCTGCTGATGTTTGTTATGCTTCATTCAAACCTCTCAGGTCAAACTAAACATTGAGAAGCAGCGTTCAAAGTCTATATGCACAGAATATCTGCAGGTGTTAAAAGGCGTGAAGAAAAACATTACAAAATCTTACATATTAGGCCATACTAACAGGAGGTGGTATCTAGTGGAAGCCAGATGGATTATTGAACGGGCCTAATAGGGGCCCAAAGTGTCAGGGGCCCTCCCTGGCCTTCGCCTACTATATGTCACTCAAAAGACACGTAACAACCAGGAAGAGACCCAAAAATGACCACAAAGAGACTCACAACGCCTATGAAAAGAGACAAAACGACTACAAAGAGACACAAAACGACCACAAAGAGACACAAAACAACCACAACGAGACACAGAATGACTGAAGAGACTCAACAACTACAAAGAGACACAAATGAATACAAATCATCATAAAGTCAGAGTTGTCCGGCTCTTCAAACTACTGTTTGTTCTGGGTCAGTGGCTCCGTGCAGCGCTCAGGATTCTGCACATTCCTCAAAGTCATCAATGATCAGTGAAACATGACGGCACACGCTGACCCCCGCTCCTCATTCATGAACCTGCAGCAGCATGGAGAGGGGAGAGGGGGGTCCTCTCTACTCACCAGGGTGTCCCTCTCCCACGGACTCCGAGGTGAACATGAAGGATCCGTCATGAGGATCGCGGTCGTAGATCCCGTCCATCGTACCGTTCATGTTGCTCCCTGGACAGTCGGCTGTGTGTCTAATGAGGACAGGGAGGACAAAGACGGACAGCGTGGCTGAAGCCTAATCTCACCGTCAGCGAGGCTCAGCAGCCAGATAACTCTGCACTATATGAGGCTAAAAACAACACACATGGGGGGGGGGGGGCATGTGAACCAGTGGGTTAGACCATTCAGAGGCCGGGGAGGGGAGGTGGGGGTTCCTTTCTCTTCTTCTTCTTCTTCTTCTTCTTCTTCTTCTTTCTCTCTGAGACACTTTTCTTTGACTCCTCCGGCGCTGACAGGTTGACAGGAAGTGGACTCATCAAACTCAGACCTGTCTGAAAGTTATAACTCTAGAATCAGAGAGTTTATTTCATGTGATTGTTTTACTTTGAAGCTCCGCCTCTGGTTCATTCATGCCCCGCTCTTTTGTTTCTTTGTACCTGGGGGCCCCCGAGGTCTCTGATGGGGGGACACGTGGAGCCGTCAGGGCTCAGTTATAACAACTCATGCAGGGTCCAGGAACTGAGTACATTCACTCAAATACTCTACGCAGTTTTGTGGTACTTTATACTTCTAATTCGCTGCATCTCAGAGGGAAATGTTGTACTTCTTACTGCACTACATTTATCCAACAGCTTTAGTTACTATTCAGATTATTAAAAGAAATGAATCAATCAACTAATAAATGTTGATTAAATATCAAAGTATAAACTACACAACAATATATAAAGTATTCAAATGAGGGTCATCTTTACCAGCTGCAACATTAAAGTGATGAACACATTAATGTATCAATTAATATAATCCAGTAATATAATACATGTGATATTAAAGTTGCTCATTCTGCATAATTAGTATTTTATCTTCTGATACTGCTGTACTTTTACTTCATTATAAGTTTGACTTACAGTCATATATAAGTTCTCTTCCTCTGCAGCTGCAGAGATGTGAAGCATTATGAAGCATCGGTCTCTGCTCTAAAAGGACGACATCACCTGAACAGCAGGAGGAGAAGCAGAAGCTTCAAGTTCACTGCATCATTCATGCTGCACACAAAATGCTTTCTGTAATCAACAGAAGTGGAATCCTCCCACAGCAGCAGCTCTCGTGAAATATTCAAGTAAAACAACAACACGTGCTGTGAAAAGCTGCAGTAGTACGCAGGACGTGTACTTCTACTGACATCTGATGGTTTTACTGTGAGCTCATATCTCCAATAGAGCATCAAATCTTCCCTTCAAATTGTAAAAAGCTATAAACACTGTTTGGTGTTCACTCTAAGATTTCACATTTTCAACAAACTAATCTGAAATATCGAGACACAATGATTTAGTCTCAGTCAGCTTAAACATCAGAGATATAGTTTCTACAATATGCACGAAACATTATATTGAACCTTGACGTGTTCCTGCTGCTCTGGTGTTCTGTGGAGTCGTTGCTAATATAAATAAATAAAGATGATTTCATGCAGAAGCGAGAGCGTTAATTATGTAGTGTCTCCCTCTAGTGTTTGAGTCCTTACAGTGCAGGCAAGTACTGCACTTAAGTACATTTTTTACTCGAGTACTTCAATTTTCTGTTACTTTTTACTTCTCCACTACATCTCAGAGGTACATATTGTACTTTTTACTGTACTACATCTCAGAGGTACATATTGTACTTTTTACTGTACTACATCTCAGAGGTACATGTTGTACTTTTTACTGTACTACATCTCAGGGGTACATATTGTACTTTTTACTGTACTACATCTCAGGGGTACATGTTGTACTTTTTACTGTACTACATCTCAGAGGTACATATTGTACTTTTTACTGTACTACATCTCAGAGGTACATATTGTACTTTTTAATGTACTACATCTCAGAGGTACTTCTTACTGTACTACATCTCAGAGGTACATATTGTACTTTTTACTGTACTACATCTCAGAGGTACTTTTTACTGTACTACATCTCAGAGGTACATGTACTTTTTACTGTACTACATCTCAGAGGTACTTTTTACTGTACTACATCTCAGAGGTACATATTGTACTTTTTACTGTACTACATCTCAGAGGTACTTTTTACTGTACTACATCTCAGAGGTACATATTGTACTTTTTACTGTACTACATCTCAGTGGTACATGTTGTACTTTATACTGTACTACATCTCAGTGGTACATGTTGTACTTTTTACTGTACTACATCTCAGTGGTACATGTTGTACTTTATACTGTACTACATCTCAGTGGTACATGTTGTACTTTATACTGTACTACATCTCAGTGGTACATATTGAAATCACTTCTCAGCGTTTACCAATAACTCAGAGAAAACCCTCTCCTTATAATTAGTTAGTAATTATTTTGCTCCCTTTGCACAGAGCTAATCTAACTGGTTCCCCCTTGTTTTCTGTCTTTATGCTAAGCTAAGCTAACTGGCCGTTATTCATATTCATCATATATACATGTGTGATATTTAACTTCTCGTCTAACTCCCGGCAAGAAAGCGAAGAAGCTTATTTGCCCTAAATTATCCAACTACACTGACGCTCCACCTTCTATAATCTGCACGGAAAAGAGTGAAACGTCCTGCGGTCCTTGAAGCGGCTCCTGCAGGTGACAGATTGCTGACCACATGAGGATTTAAACGGACCTCAGCCTGAGAAGGATCCCACGGCAGCAACCTGGCTGATCTCCCACCAGGATAAATGCAATCATCTTCAGCCGCACAGATCGTTGCAGCTGTTGTACCGGGCAGATTTCCCAAAAGGAGACCGAGAAAGAGCGAGAGAGAGAGAGAGGGAGTAAAAATAAAGAAGGAACAAAGAGTCTTGTCCTGCCAACACATCATAGCCTCAACATTCCCAAACACATCTGACCTCAGTGATTCCACTGCTGTTTTCTGGAACTAAAGGGTTTTTCTCGACTTGGTGTAAAAGCTGGCGCCCAAAATGAGTGTTAGTGGGAGGCCACAATAAGAGCCAGTGAGAGAGCAGCGACACAAGGGTGCACTGTTTAGTCCCCCGGGGCCTCCGCCGGGGCCTCCACTGGTTTATGTGCCAAGACCCGACCTTTGTGTGCCGACCACACTGACCTGTTACTGTAGCTACTGTTCAGTCTGGAAGTCTCTCACACAATGACGTGTTTTTAGATTCAATAAAAAACATTTATAACTTTTAATTTGCCCTTAACCGGTCGTGAAATGATTTTGTAACTAAGCACCATTTCCTCTCAGATCGAATCTGAAATTAGACAAATTGTCTCATGAATGAGATTTTGAAGGGCTTTAATTTTTTAATGCTACATCAGAATGTCCTGGTTCTGTCTGAGTGACACCTTAAGGTGGTCTGCTCATAAAAGGCTTTAAGGTTGTTAAAATCATCTTATTCCACTTCCTGTTGAAGCTGCACCTGCAAATATGTGTGCATCATTTTATACACATTTCCCCCAAAATATAAAGTTATTAAACTTCTAACTGGTCCTGAACCAGTCTCAGTGGAGTCCTGATCCTCTATATGAACCAGTCGTCCTGATCCTCTATCAGACCTCCATCAGTAAAGAGACCATCAGAGAGAAGATGGTCTGTTTCTATAGAGTTATTCTTAATGCTCGTCATCGGAGCCACCGGGTCGGATTCTGGTGAAACCAGATGAACTCATGCAGGTTCACCAGAACCTCCTTCAGCTCAGACTCCAGCAGAGACCGGTCCACCGCGGACAGACCCAGATCCTCCAGCAGAGACCGGTCCACCGTGGACAGACCCAGATCCTCCAGCAGAGACCAGTCCACCGTGGACAGACCCAGATCCTCCAGCAGAGACCGGTCCACCGTGGACAGACCCAGATCCTCCAGCAGAGGTCCAATATATATAATATATATTATATTACTGGATTCTAATTATTGCCGCATTAATGTTCAGACCTTTGATGTTGCATCTGGTGCATCTTAATACATAATAATATATAATACTTTATCATTCGATTGTTGTATCAGTTATATTTTGTATTATCATGAAATAATTAACTAAATTGGTCAAATAAATGTAGTAGAGTAAAAGTTTAAAGTAACATAATATGGAAGTATTTAAGGAAAGTACAAATACCTCAACATTATAATAAGTACAATACTTGAGTAAATGTATTCAGTTACTTTTCCACAACTGGAAACGGTCCAGTCAGCATAATAAAAAGGAGTTTTACTTTTGGGACTTAAGTAAATTGTGAAAGTAGGACTTTTACTTGTAACAGAGTATTTTATACACATTTAATCATATAATATGATAGATATGTACCTACAGAAGTGCTATTGACAGATGAGTGACGCATTAATCACGTGAAACGTGTTGTGCTGTAAAGCTCTTGTTAGCGGCTCTTTGTTGACACCCTTCATGGAACCAGATGGCTGGTTTGGAGCAGACAGGTTGCATTTCTGTGCAGCCCGTCTGCGCTCCGCAGCGCCCCCCTCCGGCCGCCCGCTGCACTGCGACGAGAAGAAGCCGTGTGAGCCCGGTGAGCGACTGCTGCTGAAGACACAACACCGCCGTCTGCACTCAGGTAAGAAAAACAACCCAAAAACCCGACATATTTCTGTTATTTGTTCCAATCCGACATCAGTGCGATGTTTGAAACGTGAACATCGCAGCGGGTCAGAGCGCTGCGTCGTGTTTCTCCATCGGCATTCGTCTTGTCACTTAATATATATATATTTCTGCTGGAGGAGGGAGAGGTTGGGCCTCTGAGCGTTTACACACGTATAGAATTATCATGCACGTGAATGAAATACATATTCGCTGCACACTTCCTCCTGCAGCGGCTTGTTTTGCACGTTTATGGCGCGTTTATTTTTTATTGAATTGTGCGCGATCTCCATCTCCATCGATGATCCTCCATCTACAAGAGAGCAGAGAAACGGGTTCTTGTTGCGGCCGTCGCCGTCACCTCCCTCCGCTAACACGGCCGTGTTTGTCCTCCCTCATTCCGTGCAAAAACAAAAATGTCTCCATCCTCCTCCTCCGGAGCAGGTCCGTCTCCCTCTCCAGACTCACATTGTTCCTTTGTGACAAAACTAATCCTCCAGAATATTCTATAATCTCCTCATTAAAGGCTCCCAGAGGACAATAACGCGATGTTATCGCTCTAATATATCGTTTAATGTTGGCAGCTTTCTTTTCTTTGTGTCGTCTGCTGTGATTTGACTCTGAATATTTAGCTTTTTTGTTCTCTCCCTCGCTCCCGTTATTCTGGATCTTTCTCCTCTTTTTTGCAGCTGAGGGCCTAAATGGTTTCCAGCATCGCAGAACACATCCGCTCCTTTTATTCTGCAAACCCGCAGACCCGATGCGCAAACACCCCTCTGGTGTTTTGCATTCCATTTACATGTATGTTCATATGTCCTGCAGTATTTAGAGAGCACATAGTGTCTAGGGGGGGGGGGGGATCGGGATAGCGACGCGGCGCCCTGTGCGCAAATGCCAAGCCCATTTTTCATTTGATCAACAGAGGAGAGAGCGCGCGCAGCAGCGTCTCGAGCAGCGAACCGGGCTGCTTATCTGACACATATGGGCTCCTCTGTAATCCGGCCCCGGGGTCAGCGGACAGGATCGTGATGGCACAGTCTGGTGCATGCATGGAAAGCCTTTTCAACCACGAACCCCGGATGAGAACAATGAGGTTAATGCGCCGCTCGCATGTCAGAGCCTCGTAATACCTGTAGTCTCTCCGACACACCTCACCCATCCTCATGGGGAGAGACAGCTTCTGGTTACGTTGATTTATGAAACAAGGAGGGGGGGGGGTGAATAGACACACAACAGCCTTCTGCATGTTTCTGCAGCGCTTTGGAACCAGTTGTTACTGCAGAACAGCACACAGCCCCCCCCCCAAGAACTGCTGAACTTGTAGTTTTTCATGAAGGGACATCTTCATGGAGGAGAACAGCTAAACCTTATGTTCAAGTAAGAAAACCTACAGTAAAAACATTTTAAATATGTTTAGAACTCAGGCGGCAACCTCCGGTTCTCTAAGTGGAGTCAAAGCTTCACGTCTTAAAGCTGCATTCTCTCTAGTGTCCACCAGGGGGCGACTCCTCTGGTTGTATAGAAGTCTATGAGAAAATGACTCTACTTCTCTCTTGATTTATTACCTCAGTAAACATTGTAAACATGAGTTTATGGTCTCAATCTCTAGTTTCAAGTCTTCTTCAATACAGCATGATGCTCATTTAATAAATTCAGAGAGAAACACAAGTTAACACGGTCACTCGTTAAACCACAACTTGAACATTCTTTTGAGGTTTCTGTCATTCTGTTGCTTCCCAGTGATCGCTCTGTATTCAAATCCAAATATTCAAATTTTTTGCTTGAAGTTTTGTTTGAAGCTCAATGTGGTTGTATGAGGTTCTTCTCCATAGTCAGCGTTTTACCTCCAGCAGATGAGGTTTGGAGAAACACACAAACTAACCGATGGAGGCAGCTGTAGACCAGCAACTCCTGTGTTCTCCAAGGTAAAATGACGTTTTTTGTCAATGGAGTCTGGTGTCTTTGAAGAGAGCGCAGATAACAGCTTCAGTTCTGTCTGACAGCAAAGTAAAGAGGTGAAAGTAAACCGAGTTGTCTAACATGCGTTTAGCTGCAGCACTGTACTGCTTTGCATAATAACGGTTGGTGGGCAGCGATGGAGACGAGTCTGTAACCGTTCACAACAGAAGATGCAGGTTCATTGTCGTTCTCTCATTTAGCAAAGACGGGCTGCTGCCTCCTGTCGGCTCGAGTCCAGAGGTGACCTCATCGGCCTCGGCCTCAGGGGCTTAGGCTGGCAACACCAACAACATCACTGAATTACTTCTCTAGACGAGCTTTCACACAAGATCTTCAGACTCAGATGTCTGATCTATGAGTTCATTCATCGGTTAGTCCAGAGACGGGGAATTAATCTGCAACGGGTCGTTTTTTAGGTCATTTTTGAGCGAAAAAAAGCTAAATATTCTTCACAAACATGAAGATTTGCTGCTTTTTCTGTTTTATGTGAGTGCAAACTATATATATTTAGGTTTTGAACAAAGAAAACATTTGAAGACGTCACTTTGAGTTTTGGGAACTTGTGATAGTATCTTCTGACATTTTGAGAATTGTTATTCGTTGGAGGCCTAATCTTCTTCTTCTGGGTACATATTGAAACATGCAGCAGCTGGTGATGACTTCACTCTCTTCACCATGACAACACAAGTCGACTCCCTCACGTGTAGAATTCCGCGCTGAGAGATCGTCTGCGATCATGTGACGCGTGTGTTGTTTGGAGAGCAGCAGGGTGTGGTTTGGTTTCTACATCCTGGAGGAGAGGAAACAAAGGTGGAGAATCTGTTTGACTACCGGGCATCACAGCTGCTGAACAGGAGACGCCCCCCCCCCAGCTCCTGCACCACGTCACGGAGCGGTAGAGTCGGTCTGCAGGGCTGAGGGAGGGAGTGATGAGGGGAAAGTAGGTCAGAGATGCAGAAGCAGTGGAGCATGAGAGCAGCGTCCTCGTCTCTGAGCTACGAGCAGCGCAGGACGACACTCAGCGCCAGGAAATGAATCGACAACAATGTTAAATGTTCTCGGCTTCCAGCTTCTCTCTGTTCATGAGGATCATTAGGGATGATCAATATATAGATATTGTCATAATTGTAATATCATAATATGGCAGAGGTGTCGTCTTTTTTTGGTTTTAAACGATTAAAGTGATGTTTTATTATCTTCACCCACTACATCCGCATTACTGATGACTAATTATGAAAAACCTCACTGTGTGGATATCTTTTAATGACTGCTGCTCAGACAGAATAAGCATTTTTAAGACTAAACTTGTGATATTTAATAGATAAACCCTTTAACATCCCAAAATGTCCCCAAAAGACAAAATACCTTTCATGTTTCCGTTGTATTCTCCGTCATTGGAGCTGAAACGTTCGTCCATTCATTGATTAATCGAGGCGGCCGCTATCGATTATAGATGACATTTATTAAGAACTGTTTCTAAAACATAAAACTGAAAATAAGCAGCAAGTCCTCACATTTTAAATATGAATATTTGGCATCTTTCTCTTGGTTGAATGCTAAAAATGTATCGATTATCAGAATTGTTGTCGATTAATTAACTGTAGATCGACTAATTGATTAATCTACTTCATTGTTTTTCGAGCAAAAAAAGCTTTTTTCTGTCTCTTATATGATAATTAACTGTTTGTTTGACAACGAGAGGTCTCCTTGGATTCCGAGAACATGTGAAGGTTATTTTTCACTGTTTTATGACAATTTATGGACCAAACGATGAATCAACAGGACAGCATCTATATGAAAACCTCGCAGAGATATCACGATTTTTACTCCCTTATATGGGTCAAGCTGCAAAAAAACACCAGGCATCTAAAAGCA